GCGTAAACTTTTCCCCACCAACCCCTTGCCAGGGAAAGTATCTTATTGGTCACTGGTGGGTAAATTTTTCAAACCCCAGAAACAAAATACTACATTTTGGGTTTTGCACCAGTGCTTTTGACATTTGGAATTCTTGACCCTTTGACATCTCCAACCAAATAGTTGATTTAGGCCCTGATTCTGCAACTGCAATTGAGTACCATGTTAATCTTCACTGACTCTTAGGAGAAAAAAATCTGTTCAGCTGAGCGATGTGTAAGTTCTCAATCCATTTTTGAATGAGGCTTTTATATTTTTAATTGAGTGATTAGTAAGAGATTTACTGATCATAAAGAGTTCTGTTTTCTTAGAGAAAGTGTTCACTGCTGTCCGCAAATATAGTTTTACTGTGCGATTTTGTATCCTTTGTTTTTAAATGATACTGAGGTGTTCTGAAAACACTTCTTGCCAAATGTAGTGCTTAATACAGAAATAGTAGTCGAATAGATGTCAGTGGGGTTACTCAGAGTAGTTGGGATTTATTCCAGGGACTATTTGTATGATCAAGCCCCAAGTTTATTCTGCTGTCCTTCATAAAGAAGACAGTACAGTTTCCTTCACATCAGGATTTATTTGAGTACAGGCCTTTCCTTCACTAAGGATTGTGGTTGACTTTAAGGTAAATTGTGCTTTCTTTTAACCGAGGAATTCTATTATTATTCTGTTCTATTTTTATGGTGTAGAAATAAAAAATCTTTTACAGCAATAATTTTATAGACTTCTTTGTTCTGACATTACGATATAATAACATTTTTTTTTATGATAAGATTTCTCATACTTCTCATCTTTCCGTTCTTCTGTGTATTTTGGGAACTGGGAATGGTCTCCTGTATACCACAGCTAGAGGTCAAAGAGATTTTTCCTCTATTAACCCATGTCATTATTGGGAACATATGCATTTGTGCATGAAATAGAATAAACAGTATTTGTTTATGGTTAGCACTTACTGTCATTAAGTACCCAAATGTATCTTGTTTTAAATGCTTTATTTTTACTGAATTTTATTGCAGAATGAGATACCAGATAACTGCATATTAAATCTTTCAGGGCTAAAGAAATCTTGCTGTCCTTACAATACCTTTGAGAATCTATTGAAGTTTTAGGAAAATGGTAAGTGCTGTAATTTTCTGATCTAGAAAATGACTCAAAAATAGAAAATTAACATGACTGTATGATATACACTTTCTAATTTGTGAAGACTTACACCTCCACCAGGTAAAAATATTCAAATACACTGTCTGTGTACCGTGGTAGCCAGATTATTGTTTCAACAAACTCAGCAGCCTAATGTACTCAGCAGGGGTGTTTCTCGTTAGCCACTCTGAAATTCTTCGTTTCCTTTCATAACTGAAGATTATAAAAACTTGGCTGGACAAATTAACTATTTGATTTATTTTTCTTGCTTCAAACATAGATTAGAATCTGGTCAATATTTTCTCAGGTCATTGTCGGTAAAGAAGTAGAATGTCATTTGCAGGTGTTGTCATAATAGTTGGTACGTGTCCCATAAAGAAATGAAAAATCTGTTGCTCAACAGATTTTTGCCTGTGTTACGTGTGTGGCCTCAGATCTGGGAACATTTGAACAAAAATGGGAGGAGTCACCAGAAAGAGTTGTTCATGCAAAAACAAGTGATCAGACACCAGTTCCCCTGCTACCACCATCACATACACTTCAAACTGAAATTAATTCATCTTTAACAATTATAACGTTCAGTCGTCTCCTCCTACACATAATTTGGGACCCACAAATAGGTGTGCAACCTATTGTTTGTATAAGATATATGTCTGCAACATGAAAGACCGTAATGAGGTCAGCTTTTATTGTAATCCAAACTTCTACACTTATGTAGTCTATAATCCTTAAATTATTGTCTCTTCTATGTACAAAATAACAAACGGAGGTGACTTGAAGCTTAGGATCAGGCCTTTTGTTTACATCATGGCCAAACTCCAGTGACTGGGGAAGCAAGAGTCCGCGCCTGCTTGGAAACCTGTCTGTGCCATATGACAATGTAAAAAGCTTCTAGGCTAGCATCTTAACCCCTTCTTTATCAGGCTTTTCCCCTTTAAATAGGTTGAGTCAATCTTGCATATTAGTGGGGAGCACTTCTGTGCAGACTGTGGCTAGAAATGCCAAGTTAGTTGCATTTTGAGGCCTTTTCTGAGCACTAGATTCATGCTGAATGTATCTCATTAATGCAAGCTGACGTTAAGTAAAGTAATATCAGGACTACTCCACCTATAATATATTTTGTTTTACACACTATACAGTTTGATATTCTGGCTTTACAAACCCTGCATTGGAGTTGACAACTTGACAATAAAGGAATTAGCTAGCAAAAAAACAACAAACAAATAAATAAATAAATAAAATAAACTGGTGGTCTCTGTTCAGTCCCTAATGAACAGATCTATGTCCAGTGATGCTAATGGTAGTGTCCATATCA